GATAGGTCCTCAGTGTGTGCGAGCTATATCCACACTGAGGGTTAATCTTGAACAATATCTGATGATCGACTCAGACTAAGCTGAGGTTCTTCCTCCATGAAGCAGCTCTGTTGTCCTCCATCCATATTTTCAGTTACAGGCTGAGTCATTTCTACCTTCTCCTCTCTGTCAACGCTCTCTGGTTTCATTTAAAAGAGTAGATAGTCAGATATTGTCCAAGATTAACCTTCAGGGTGGATATAGCTCACTCAAACCGAGGACCTATCCACATCATCATTTACCCAGAATGCTTTGTATGTAAATAAAATGGCTCCGTCCATGTTGAAATGTATTTTTAAAAATTTACAAAACTAAACAGCCTACAGTATTTTTACAGTCTTTATTTTACAGTTAAAATGTATGTTTATCAAATAAAGTCTAACGTTACAACTAACCAGGGATCCCTTTAAAGGGATAGTCTGGTCATTTTTGAAGTGAGGTTCTCTCCAATAATGAGTTATAAAAAATATCAGTAGTGACAACGTCACTACTAACAGAACATAATTATTGACAGAACATCGTTTCAAAAATGACCAGACTATCCCTTTAAAATGGAACTGAGAATGTTTGGTACACTTTCCGGGCCCTCACACCCACAACCATCAGGTTTATATTTAGAAACATCTCCACAGCTGACAGCTCATAACTTTACAGGCTTCACCTGAAAAAGTCACCTGTCACACCTGCCTTCTGTTATCCATTAACAGACGAATACACACTCCGCAGGCAGAACTACCTCTTTTAACAAACTGTTTTTTTTTTTCTTCAGCACCACCACTCCTTATTTTACATGCCTGTCTTCACTTTCTTGCAGCTACTATGACGTTTGAGGTGAAGCAGGTTTTTCTTTTTTGGTCCAGAGTCGAGCTTCTATTCTGGACAGATAACAGGTGCCAGGGGCTCAAGTCAAAATAWTACACATTTCAGGCTTTGAGATGCTGAGGATGTCCTCAGAAATATGGACAGTATGTACCAACAAACATACAGGATATTTACAACTCCCTATTTATTTTTCCACCCACCTGCGTTGTACTATCTGACTCCTGCAATGCTGTAGGATYATAAAGATCTTTGACCAATTCAAAGGAATTTTCTGCTCAAATTCATCTTTTGACATCATTTRTTTCACTGAAAGTATTTTTGAACTCGCACAGATGCTTCACATGATGCAGAATGAACCCAGTTTGACTGTCAAAGTCCAAATGAGATTAGAAATTAAAACAACACTTTTCATACCAAAGCTTCAAGCAAACATCTAAAGCACTCTGTCTCAGCTACTATCAGGCTAAACTTTAGCTTCAAATGGACAAAACTGACAGGGTTATTGCCAGTTTAGTGTTTGCTGAGGTCGATTGGAGCAAACAGATATGAACAGACACAGCTGTCTGCATTTTTGTGACATTATTTACTGTGACAACGGTTTTATGGTTTTCACAACCGCTCTTTCACTATTTGATCCTTTTCCTCTTTATGTGGTTTGCTTTTATGCGAAAAGCACTTTTCTGGCAAATGCAAGCATGCAAAGAAAATAAAAGTAAAAAAATTAATGTGAGAGTTGATGTTTTGCTCAAAAAGAAAATTATCTGCATTAGAAAATTTTGGTATTTTTTTTTTATCAAGATCTGTAAATTATCCTTTTGGTTTATACTTGTTTTTATTTCAGATACTCCCATCTGCAGGGGTCAACACAACGAGTAAAGATGAACAAAATACCAAATGCTTTTTTCTGACACAAGGGTTTGAGCCCTCTGCATTATGAGACAGCGGAACATGCCCAGTTAGCTACTGATTCAAGTGTGTAAGACTAGAAAACATCTGTTTGGCTCCATCTGTTCATTAAACATGCCACATAAGAACAAACAAAACAGCAAACTCACGATTCGACACTAAATAAATTTGAGAGGTTTTYATTTCTGACCTGAAACATCTGCTTGACCATCCTGCGCGGCAGGTTAACGTTCAACTTGTGGAGAAGCTGGTAGATCTCATCGATGTTCAGCAGGCCGTCTCCGTTCTTATCAGCCTCCTCAAACGTCTGCTTCATCCATGTCAGACACACGCATTAAGGAAAACAAGCAGAATTTCTAAGATTTTGGCAGTTTTGAGGCGTAAGCAACTTAAACACTGACGTTATTCAGTAAAAGCTTAAAATGTACTTTATTTTGAGGCACATTTATGAAGGGAAATTAAAAGTCGTTATATTGTGCAGAGTAAAGATAATGTGAAATAAAGTGAGATATTTTCTGTTTCTGCCCACGGTTACTTATTTAAAAGGATATTGGTCATGTGTCCGCTGCCGTTTGGCCAGCGAGTCCTCATCGCTGATCCCCGCCATCAGGTACCGAAGGCCGGTGATCCAAGTCCTGGCCTCCTCTGAGTTAGATGTCACCAGGTCGAGGGACTCCATGTGGTTTCCGTGATACACGGTGAAACAGCAGGCCGGGTCGAAGCTGCCGTCTGGTTGCCGATGGAAGATGTCCGATTGACCGCCTTCCGTCACCTTATAGAGCGAATCGATGGTGACTAACACAGTGAGAAAAGACAGAGAACAGATCAATAAAACCAAATCCTGAGGTTTTGTTATTTCTGTTCATGYAGACTGAATTACAAACAAAAATAAAGTTTGAATAACAAAACTGTCCAAAAGTTATGAGTAAGAATCTTTTTTTGTTTTGTTTTCCTTTTGGTAACCCATCTTCGCTCCCCGATGRCCAAAAACAAATTAAAATGTTCATAATTGAGTATCATCATCTGTGGATCTCAAAAAAATCAGCATCTGAAACAGACAAAGTATGTAGCTAAATGTCCTCGGCCATTTTTAACATCGTCGTGATAAAATAAGAAAAAAAATATGAAAGAGGTAAAGATTGTAACTGAGAAAAGATGTAATGTAAAATCCTTGCAATTTTACTAAAGCTAATCAAACATCTACCCCAAATACCACTTCAGCTTTTAAGCTCGAGTAAATTCTGCTGTGATCCRTGCAGCAAATCTACAAAAAGTCCCAAAAATCACATTACAAGAYTAAACTCCAGCACAGGAGCTGAGCAATGCAACACCCTTCAACTCATCATTTTTTCAGCTAACAACTCTTTGAGGGTCACCCTCAAAAATACGATTTTCTGCCCTTCAAACTGTGTTTTCTACTGTGTTTGGTAATTTTTGTGTTGTTTAAGTCCCAACAGTAGTTTGTCACATGAGTTTAAAAGTCTTTTATGCCTGAATGATTCATGGATCAGAGTTAAGTGGCTTAACAAAGGAGAAAAAACAGCTTTTTTTTAAAAAAAAGTTCAGTTAGTTGAGAGAAAAAAATGTACAAAAAAGCAGGAAAAAAAACTTTTATAACTATAGAAAACTTAATAAAAAATACTGATCTAGAACACTTTAAAATATTCTAAGATAGTTTGTCTCATTAGAAGAAAAATACCAAAATCTGATGGATAACATAAGAGTTTTGCACAGAACTATGCGGTGTCAGATTGTAGGAGAGCTGCAGCAGAACTTTAAACAGAAAAGTAGCTCAAAGCAGCATCATGAAAGGACGTTCATTTCAACTAGCTCCTGAAACTTTCAGTTAACTTCTACAACACTAATAATATCCAAGTTTAACTTTTCAGCTGCGATCAGCGTTTTCCTCTGAAGTGCCTCGATAAAGAATCGAGAAGGAATCTAAAAAGACTGAACTAGTTAATAACCTTGAACTAAAATACAGGTTCCCTGRTTTCTCTGCTTTCCTCTGTCCTGTGTAAAAACACGTAGCAAGCAGCTCCAGTGGGTTTCAGTCTTTCACAGCCTAATGAGTCTGCTGTTTTAACTCAACCATCTCAGATTCTGGGTTTTTGTTCAGAACAGCCTGAAGTCAGCTCTGTCCTGTTCTGAATTTTACACATATGCTTCAGATGCTTCTTCACCTCATTGCATTCATCAGTGGGAAACTTTAATTTGTATTACCCCTTCCAACTCTTCAGAAGCCTCATAATGTCGACTCCTTGCAACAATAAACCTTTTGTTTCCAGAATTGCCACTATGACTGATGAAAGAATTAAATGAATTGCCTCCTCAGCCACTCAAGAAAAMTATATTTTGTCATAATCCTTTTGGAAATTATACATTAGCGTTTTCCCATTACACTAATTTACCACATCCTGTTACATAATTTCTTCTCTGAAATACTGCTAGTACTAAAAAAAAAAAGAACAGCAGCTTTGTTTTGATCCTGTACACACACATACATGCACAGCCTTTTATATTTTTAAATGGCATTTTCCTCATTGTGTCAAAAGAAATGATCTAAGAGGCTTATCTGAGGTTGACAGGTTTCCTGCACACACACAATTGTTGTCATTCACACACCAGATGCAGGCTTCTTTGGGTCGATGTGTAACATCAGTACAAGTGGCAGCARCGCTTCGACAGGAACATGAAATCTTTAATGATAATCTCCATAAAGCTGGAGCAGTGTGGCGTAGATAAAAATAAAACTTCTAACAGATGTTCCATTACAAAAGGGAACSTTTCTAGTCTTTTAAAAAAMSRARKKGKTKG